CACACACACTCTCTCTCACACGCTCACACACACATGTATGCACGCCCCATGCCCCCCCCCCCCACCCCAGGTGCATCACCGGTATCCCAGACGAGTGCGGCGCCGACTACGGCGGCTGCTGGCATGTAGAGCTCAAGGTGGGCGGCAAGCCCCAGGCCTTCTCCGCCTGCAAGGACAACTTGGCGGCTTACCAGGTGGGGGCGGGTGGGGTGGGGTGGGGTGGGGAGCGGTGGGTGGGGCGGCGGTGGGTGGGGCGGCGATGGGTGGGGTGGCTGTGTGGGGTGGGGTGGGGTGGGGAGAGGTGGGGGTGGGAGAGGCAGCAGTGATCGGGGGCGGCACTGGTGTGGGAGGCGCGGTGCATCTGCCACCGTCGAGGCCGCCTGCCTCTGCGCGCCCGTCCGCTCTGCCGTGCGCCGACGCCGGCGCCACGGGCTGCCCGCGGACCGGGCCGGCAGCCAGCCCAGCCGCCCGCTGGCCTCCCGCCACGCTGGCTTCCCTACGCTGACGGGCCGCCATGCCGCCCTACCCTCCCCGCCCGCAGGACGCACTGGCGCACGGGCAGCCCGTGGACGGCGTGCCGCTGCACACCTGCACCTGCCCCCCCTGCTTCACGGCGGTGGAGAAGGGCGGCGCTGTGAGCTGCACGCCCAAGTGCGACCTGCGCTACTGTGACCTGGATGTGGGGCTGTGCCACGCGGAGCCGGGGTCGGGTGAGCGGGGCGGTGGTGTTGGCGGCGGTGGGTGGTGGCGACGGCGGTGGTGGTGGTGGCAGCAATCCAATGGGGGTGGAGCGCATGCTGCATGCCTTGGGGCTGTGCTGGGGCTGCGTGCGAGTGGTGGTGGATTGTTGCAGTGGCTGCACCGCGTGCTCCCCCTGCCCTCGCCCTGTGCACGCCCGCCCCCGCCGCCAGCCTGCCGCACCCAGCCCGCCCCTCACCGCCGCCTCCTCCCCCCTTGCTGCCCTCCCCTACCCATCCACTGCAGGCGGCGGCGGGCTGGGCGCGGGCGCGGTGGCGGTGATCGTCATCGCCGTGGTTGCCATCCTGGGCGGGGCGGGATACCTGGCCTACCAGTACCGCATCCGCAGCATCATGCAGCAGGAGGTACGGGCGATACTGGCGCAGTACATGCACCTGCCCGAGACGGACACCGACGCCGACCTGGGGGCCGCCCTGGGGGGCACCCGCCTGAAGCCGCTGGACGGAGTCTGAGGCGGCAGAGGGCGGCGGCAGGGACCCCCTCCCCCCCCGGGGATGTGACTAGCCAACCAGCCAGTGCGCCTCTTGGAAGCCGCAGGCGTGTCCCAACACACGTGAAACCTCTGTTGTTTTTTCCTGACGCTTGCGGGTGTGTACGCGCGTGTCGCACCCCATGTATCCTAAGCCCCTTCTGCAGCCCATCTCATCCTTGTATTGTGACCTCGCACGACCGGTTCACAGGTTCACAGGTGGCGAGCTGGCTGCTGGCTGCAGCGTTCCGCGCACAACAAGCAGGCGGGCACGCATTGCCATGGGGGCGACGGCCCCGCAGCCAGCAGCTGCCACCCGCCTCCTGCCGCCTGCCGCCTGCCGCCCGCCCCCTGCCTGCCAGCCACACGGGCGGCCCAGTCAGGTGCCCCTGACCCTGATGCAGCTGCCGCTGAAGACATCCAGCACGTGGGTGGGCAGGCAGGCGGTACAGGTGATGGCGTTGGTGCAGGACTGGCACCCAGGCACCCGGCACCTGACGCAGCGTGCGGTGGTGGGGGTGAGGCGTACCGCCCCGTACCCGCTGGCGCAGGCGGCGCAGTTGGCGGGGTGGGTGAGGCAGGCGGTGCAGTGGGGATCCTGTGAGGCGTGGGTGGGTGGGCGCGCGGGTGAGGGTGAGGCACTGGGAGTGCAGGGGGCCGCCGCCGCCCTCCCTTGCACACACAGCGGGTCCCCTTTCAAGGGCGCCCCTCCTGTGGCGGGCAGCCCCAGAGGGCGGGCTGGGCACAGTGGCGGGCTGCTTCTGCCAGGTGTACTGCCGGCGAGGCGGCCGGCCGGCAGGCGCGCACTCAGCACTCACTCTGCACTTGACCTTGCAGGTGGTTGAGGCGCCGCCGGAGGAGTTGCTGGGCTTGGGGAACTCGGGCAGGAAGCCGGGCAGGCAGCCGCTGCACCCCTGCTTGCCCGTCTTCGCGTCCGCAAAGCTGCAGGCAGGGCGCGGCGGGGCGCGATGGGAAGCTGGGTGGAGTGGATGTGTATTTTATTGATTCGGTGGAGTGGAAGGGGAGAGGGGAAGAGTCTGCCCACAAGCCCCGCCACAGGTAGCAGCAGCCCCCCGGCGCGGCACCCACCAGAATGCGCAGTTGGGCGCGGCGCACTGCGTGCAGGCGCCTGAGGTGAAGTTGGTGGCAAAGCCCTGGCCGCAGTAGCTGCACTTGGCGACCGACAGGGTGCACACCTGGCAGCCCGGGACCTGCGGGCGACGGCGGCAGCGGCGGGCAGCCGCGCGGGGACATTAGGGGCCATCGAGGCATTCCGCGACGGCGAGCGCGCTGCCGCGCTGGCCAGGGGGGGTGGTAGGGCAGCGGGGGGCAAGGGCGCGAGGGCGGGCTGCGCGAGCGGCGCAGCGCATGCCCCGGCGCCGCACCCTGCACCGCGCGCATCTGTTGTTCTTTGCGTTGAGCTTGAACCCTGCCGCGCATTGCTTGCACACCATGGAGGGCTTGCGCGCGCCTACCGCCGGCGTGCACGCTGTGCAATTGCGTGGGCACTGCAGCGCGGGCGGGAAGCGTGAGTGGCGTGTGGGCGCGGCATGAGCACGCTGGCGCCAGCCTCCCTTCCTGCCACCTCTACCACCACCGACCCTCTCAAGCATGCCCAGGCCCGCGACGCTTCACGTGCTCCCACACTCGCGCCGCTTACCGGCTTGCAGGCTCCCGTGGCATCGGGGCTGTAGCCAGAGAGGCACACGCTGCACTTTGTTGTGTCCACTGGGTTGCAGGCGATGCACCAGCCCTTGGCCATCCGGCACGGCATCCCCTGGACCGCCCCTGCATCGGGGATAGGAAGCAGGGTGAGCGGGGAGGGAGGAGGGTGGGGGGGCGTGCTGGGCGGAGGTTGCACGCCACCCGCCGCCGCTGCCGCTGTTCGTCAGCACTCCATGCGCAGCGCCTTTCCGGCGCCAGCTCATTCCACTCATCTGCCTCTGCGTCTGTGCCTCCTCTCAGAGGCAGGAGCCGAGGGGGGGGCGACATCATGCACCACGCTCACCTGAGACGCCGACAAGCATTAACAGCGCCTCGTAAAGCTGTAGTGGCCGCATGGAGATCCGTGAAGGAGGTGGGCTGGGCTGAAATGGGCCTGCTGGTGTGTGACCGGCCCACTAGGGCTTGTCACAGATGATACGGCCGGAACTAGAAGACCGCTGCATCTCCTCTCCTCTATAAGCCGCATCATCCCTTTCTGCATTCCGATTGCAACCCATGCCCCCGCTGCTGCTCTTTGCCGCTCTGCTGCTGGCTGCCTCAGGTGGGCGTCCCCGACTGTGGCAGCTGCAGCAGCCCAGGCACAGAGTCAGCAGCCGGAGTGGTGGCGGGTTACGGCCGCATCGGCCAGGGGCTGTGCCGCTGGTGTTTGGTCAGTGACCGCGACGAGCGGTGCCGCCACCCCGCCGCCGCCACTGCTCTGAAACTGGCACGCCTACCCCAAAAAGCACGCTCCCCTGTCCACACCTGGCTGCTGCAGGCAGTGCTGCCGCCGCGGGGTGTTTGGTGGAGCGAGCCAACTGCATCGCTTGCTCCTATGGCGCCAGGAAATGCGGGCAGTGCATCTACGGGTGGTCACCCAACGCCCGCGGGACATGCGTGCGGGTGCGTCTGCCCGCTGCCAGCTCTGTTACAGACAAGGGCTCAGCTGTGTGGGTCTGCCCTCCCTTGCTTGCGGTGACGGCGGTACCGGGGCAGGCGGCGTGGTCTCCCCGCCACCCCATGCAGCGCATGACATGCCTGAGCCCCTGCATGATCCCCTGCATGAGCCCACTCCCAGCCCTGCTGCAGTGCCCGCCCAACTGCGCCTCCTGCGACACCTCGCGGTCCTGCACCAACTGCGCCCGCACGTACCGCCTCAACCGCCGGGGCGACTGCGTGAAGTGCAAGGTGCGGCGCGGCGCATGCGTGGTGCGGTCTGCGTTTAGATGCGGGTCCCCAGGCGCTGCTGCTGCAGGGAGGCATGCCGGGGGGCTGCTGCTGCCCGCCCCTGCGCACTGCTGCACTGCTGCGCTGGTTGAGGACGTGGGCTGGCACCCGCCTTTGCTGGGAGGAGCGCTTGGCAGGCGCCGCCGGCAAACGCGCTGCGTGGCAGCAGTTCGGCGACCGCAGCTCTGCCGCTGTGTGTGGCGCAGGTGCCGCACTGCAGCTGGTGCTACGACAACGCCACGAGCTGCTCCTGTGAGTGCTGGCTGGTTGTCGAGCTGACGGTGGTGGCGGGCGGCACTGGAGGGTGGCTCCCTTTGCCGGGAATGCATTGCTGCCTCCCAGCCTGACAAACAACCGTGTACTGCCCGCCACCTGTGTGTGTGTGTTGTGCCGCAGACTGCCAGCAGGGGTATGCCACCAACTACAGGACCGGCGGCACCTGCAAGGCCTGCGCCAAGAAGAACTGCCTGTGGTGGTGAGGCGCCGCGGGGGTGCGGCTTGGCAGGCGCTCGGCTGGGCTGGCGCTGCGCTGGCGGCACCGTAAAGGCAGCCCTGGGCTGGAAAGCTTGCGTCGCTGCTGTCCCAGATCGCCTGCTGCCGCCCGCCTGCTGACTGCTGACTGCCCCGCAACGCACGGCCACCACCCCGCCACCGCCACCACCATCACCACCACCACCATCCAAGTCCCCACCACCCCCTCCTCCCCGCAGCGTGTATGCCGAGGACTTGGGCAACGCGCAGTTCTGCACCGGCTGCCGCTACGGCTACATGGCCACCTGGCCCGCAGGCGTCAACACCGACCCCAGGATAGGCGGCTGCGACTGCAAGCAGCGGTGCCCGGTGCGCGGCCGCGCCGGCCGCTCCTGCTGGGGTCGGGCCGACGCTGTGCCCTGTCCCCACCCGCCCACGCCCACCACCTCCACGCGAGCGTACACTACACAAGCGTACACCGAACCTCACCCTCCCACCTTGCCCGCCCGCCGGGCCGCCGCCGCCACCACAGATCAAGTTCTGTGCGCCGGGCAAGTGCTTCAAGAATGGGCCCCCCGACACCGGCACAGTCAACTGCGACAGCTGCCTGGACGGCTTCACAGACCTGCAGGCGTTCGGCAGGCAAGCCAGACGGCGCTGCTGCTTCAGCTGCCGCCGCCGGCCACGTCAGCTGGGTGGCATGGGCAGCGAGGGGCAGCCATCTCCAGGGGGGGTTACTGGGATGCAGCACTGGCATGCAGCCGGCCGGCCGCCCCGCGCGCCTCACATGCCTCCCTTCCCCCGCCCCACCCATGTTGCACGTACACATCGCCCCTGCTGCCCTGCCCGCAGGTGCCTCAAGTGCACAGACCCGGGCTGCTTGTCCTGCTGGGACCCGCACACCTGCAAGGCCTGCAGGCCGGGCTGGGTGCTGGTCGACAACAACCGCTGCATCAGGGTGCTGCCGCCGTAGCCGCTGGGGGGGCGTGGCAGCGGCTGCGGCGCAGCCTCCAGCAGGCCGCAAGGACAGCTCTGCACAGCTTCTCCCTCTTTGTTTTCTGTTTACATTGAATTACAAGTTCCCTTTTCTATACTTTCTTCCTGATTTCTTGCCCTACGTGCCGTGTAAAAATGGCTCGAGGCGGGACTGCAGCGGGCAGCAGTGGCTCGGCAGCGCGCTATGCCTCCTCGCCTTCCTCCCCCTCCCCCTCCTCCTCCTCCTCCCCTTCCAGGCCCTCCTCCATCTCCTGCTCCTGCTCGCGTGGCGTGGGAGCGGAAGCAGGGGAAGGCACACACATCAAATCAGAAGGGGCTCCAGGCAGCGCTGCAAGAGACGCCCACACTCAACCAGCACGCCCAACCTCGGTCGGGGCGGTGGCCAGGCGGAACTGCCGCCACCCACCTGATGCTCGTGGTACACGCGGCGGCGCTTGCCGCGGGGCACAGCGCCGCCCGCCTCCCCCTCCTCCCGCCCCTCGGAGCCCAGCTTGATCTTGAAGTCTCGGTTGGTGGCGCGCCTCGCCGTGACCATCAGGTTGGCCCCGCCTGCTGGGAGCAGCAGCAGGAGGAGGCGGTGGTGGGCGGGAGGTGAGCGGAGAGGCGGGCCGCTCACCAGCTACCAAGCGCGGCAGGCAGCCGGCTCGGCTGCGCATGCTGGAGGGCAAGCCGCAGGGGCCGAGGCAGGGGAGCATGTGTGTGTGTGTGTGTGTGTGTGGTGTGGTGGGGGGTGGGGGAGGTGCGCACGCTGTGCGCGGCGTGCCTGCTTTGGACAGGCGGATGAGGTGGCGCTCAAACTCCTCGATCTGGAAGATCAGGTTGGGCACCTGCGCGGTACAGAGATACAGAGGTACAGCACCGGTCGGATTTACAAGTCGGTACGGTGCTCAGCGGGTTGATATGCCGCCAGCTCAAGCCTTGTTCTCCCTCGTGATTTTACAAGCGCACACACATGCTTCGGTTTGGCAACTCCATGCCGCCGCAGCTGCATGGAGGGCAGCCAGGCAGCAGCCCATTCAGCGGCCTCGCCTGTTTGGACTCGCGCTTGACCCTGCTGGCGGCGGCCGCCCCGGCGCGCGCCCGCTTCTTGGCCCTCCTCTCATCCTCTGCAGCAGCGCGGGTGGCAGCAGCCCACAACATCGCAGCGCGCATGGGTGCAGCGCGCAGCCTCGGAACACACTAGCGCAGGCTGCGGCGCGTCAGGGCAGCACGGCACGGCACGGCACGGCGCAGCGGCGGCACAGCGGGGGCAGCTGCCGGGGCGCGCCCGCCGCCGCTTGCCGCTTGGCGGCCCACCCTCGTTGTCGCCGCCGTCATTCTCCTGCTGCTCCCCCTCAGGCTGGTTCTGGCCGTGCACCTCCTGCAGCCACGCAAATGAAAAGCAGGCAGGCAGGCGCACGCGTGTTTGTGTGCGCGCACACACAGGCAGCCACGCTCGCCATCCACCCCTGGCGCCTAACCAGAAGGCCCGCCATCTGTCCCTGCCACCAACAACGACAAACCACACCATCCAGCACAGCACAGCACAGCACAGCCAAACACAGCACAGCCCAGCCCAGTGCAGCCCAGCCCAGCCCAGCCCAGCCCAGCCCAGCGTGCCTGCAGGAAGCTGTACACCAGAGGCGTGCAGTCGCGGTTCACCCAGTGCGCCAAGTCGCTGAAGGCGCCGCTGACGGCGGCGCCGGAGCCGCCGCCTGCGCATGAGGCGAGCAGGCGCCGAGGTGGTGAGGGGTCGGCAGGGGAGGCGCGGCCTCGGCGGGGAGGCGCGCGGCGGGCAGCGGCGCAGGAGGGCTGGGCAGGCGGCGGGGACGGCGGCGGGCGTCCAGCCCCGGCAGAGGAACCCCATACCACCGCCACCACAACAACGCTCCCACACACACATCCACATGCGCACCGGCGCCCTTGGGCGGCGTCTGTGCCTTGGCTGCCGCCCCGAGCAGCTTGTACAGGCGGGTGAGCGACTTGACCAGTGCCTCGCAGGCGGTACCCTCCAGCCGCACATCGCACAGCACCACTGCGGAGGGAGGCAGGAGGGAAGGACTTGGGGGGGGGAGAGGGCTGGTTGGTGCGAGGCGGCGGAGGAGGCAACGGCAGGAAGCGGACAGGTGGGGCGAGCAAAGGAGAGATGCCGCCAAGGAGGGGAGGAGCAGCCACGCAGCGGGCAGGCCAGAGGCGGGACAAGAGTGGCAGGAGGCGCAGCGAGTGCCGTCGAGGGCGTCCCCCCACTAGTGGGGCGCGCCGCCGCAGCAGCAGCAGGCCGCAGGCCGCACCTAGCACCTCGGCCAGCTGGCGCTGGCGCAGCAGCCCGGCCCGCTCCCAGGCCTGGCGTGTGGCCTCCAGGCGCTGCCGCGCGGCGACGGGCTGGCTGGCGTCGCAGGCGGCGGCGCCCAGGCTCCTGAGCTTGCCCAGCGCCCACTCCAGATTGCTGTGGCGGGCAGGCAGGCAGGAGGCAGGCAGACACGCAGGCAGGCAGGGGGTTCGGGAAGGAGGGGAGGTTGCGCGGGTCGGTAGGGGCAGGTACACAGGGGTGCGAGAAAAGCGGAGCGCTGGGCAAGAGCCGAGCTGGGGCCAGGGCCGGGGCCGGGGCCAAAGCAGGCACGGCTGGCCCGCGGGGAGGCACGCTCTGCCCGCCACCCGCCCGCCCCCTCTCGCCAGCCGCCCCGGCCGCCGGCTCACCCCAGGGCTGCCTCCAGGTGGGCCCCCGCCACTGCCAGCATGCCCAGATGGGTGCGGGCGTTGAGCGCGGCAAAGCGCTCCCCTTCCTCACCCAGTTCCTCTGCAGGGCAGGCACAGCGGCAGCGCCAGGGAAGCGTGGCGAGCGGGCAGGCGGGCCGAGCGCGGCGTGGGCGGAGGTGCACCGCCGGGGGTGGGGCTGGAGGCAAGGGGTGGCCGAGGCTGGTACGGTGGTGGCGCGCGGGCAGGCGCCAGGCAGGCGAGCAGCCCACCCGCATTCATCATTTCCCTGACGTCTGTGGCCACAGCCAGCAGCAGGCCCAGGTCGCCGCCCGTACCGCCGCCCGTACCACCGCCCGCCTCGCCCGCCGCCGGCCCCGCCGCCGGCCTTGCCGCCGCCGCAAGGCCCCGCAGCGCCAGCTGCAGCAGCGCCTTGGCGGCGGCGGCCTGCGTCAGGCCGCTCAGACCTTCCAGGCCCTCCACCGCCCAGCCGGCGACCGCGCCTGCACCGGGGGGCGGCAGCAACAACAAGAAACTGACGTCAGCAAAACAGCGGCTGGAGCTGCCCACAAGCAACAACCTCGTCCAGAGCTCGCCATGTCTGCTCTGCTCACAACAGGTAGCCACCCCACACCCTTGCCCCGCCTCGCCGCACCGCACCCGCAAAGGCGGGCGGCAGCAGGCCGGCCAGCAGCACCAGCCCGCCGCACAGCAACTCCAGCTCCTTTGAGCAGCTGGGCTTGAGGGCGGCCTGCAGCATCTCGTGCAGCAGCGGCAGCGCCGCCGCCACGGCGCGCTGCGACGCGCTCAGGCCTGCGCGGGAGGGAGGTGGGTCAAGGGGGGGTGGATGCTTAGGGGGGGCAGGGAAACGCGTCGGTCAGGCCGGCCATGCAGCGCCGCCGTGCAAGGGCAGGCGTGATCGGCGCTTGACGGGTGCTTCAGCGGCAGCTCGGCAGGCAGGCCCCCCATTCCACTCCCTTCACCACAACTGTCACTTGGTGTGGTTTAAACAACGCATACGTGCGACCCACCGTCGGCAGGCGGCAGGTTCGCCGCTGCCACGGCGCCGGCGCTCGGCGGCGGCAGCTGCTCCAGCACCGCCGCGAGGCCCGCCAGCCCCCCGGCAGCTCCCATGGCCAGCAGCTGCTGCAGGGCACGAGCGGCGGCCTGCGGGGAGAGAGGACGAGGTATGGGTCGGGGGGGTGGCAGCAGTGGCAGAAGCTTGGACAAACGCAGGGGCGGGGTGGCGGGACGGGCAAGGCGGGGCAAACCGGGGACGAGAGGGCAGGCAGACAAGCCGGCACACCCCGCCCTTCTCAGATCAGAGCCCACGCCGCCACCCCCGGCACTGCACCGCGTGCGTTTGCAGGGGCAGGGCCACAGGCAATGCAGCGCGTGCGTTTGCAGGGGCAAGCTCCTTGGAGGAGCAAGCACACCTGCGTCATGGCCTCTGTGGGGTCTTTCTCCTTCTTGGCCCCCGCCCCGGCAGCGCCCCCCGCCGCCCGGCTCTTGCAGTGAGACAGCACCACGGTCTGTACTGCCCTGCAGCGGCAGCGGTGGCAGTACACGAGCGGTACGAGAAGCGGCACGAGGCGCAGGCCGGCGCCGGCGTCCGTCGCCGGAAGCGCGCCGGCGGCAGCGCGCGGGCGCGGGGCCGGCGGGGCGGAGCCGAGGGCGTAAACGCAGAGTCGGCTGGCGGCGGCTGCGTGCTCACCTGAACAGCGGGCGCGACAGCTGCTGCCAGTCTGGCACCGCAAACAGCCGGCGCACCGCGGCGGCATCCGCCTCGCTGCCAGCTGCAGGGCACAGGCACAGGCACAGGGACAGGCAGCGGCGCAGGATGCATGGTAACGTGATGCGCTGCTGAGAGATGCGGGCCTGGAGGCGAGGGACTTTGCCTGCCAGCCCTCCCTGTGCATCCATCCGCCAGGCATGCAGCCTGCCGCCCCCATCCCTGCACCTGTGCCTGCTGCAATGGCGGCGGTCAGGTCGCCGGCCTCGCAGGCGTGCAGGCGGCGCAATGCAGCGGTGAGCACCGCCGTCACAAAGCCCTGGTCGCGGCACAGCTTCACCGAAGCCGCCATGGTGGCCTGGCTCTGGGTCTGCGTCTGCTGCAGGCAGGCAGGCAGGCAGGCAGGCAGGCAGGCCGGAAGGCAGGCAGTCGGGCAATCGGGCAGGCAGGCAGGCGGTCGGTCGGGCGGGCGGGCAGGCGGTGCGCCACCTGGGCAGGCAGGGAGGGAGGGTAACCAGCTGAGGGGAGCATGGCCAGCGGCAGGCAGCGTGGAGGGCTCATCATGACGAGGTGGGTTTGTGCGGCACCGGCGCCCCAGGGAGGGCCAGGCTCACAGGCTCACAGGCACGATGCCCCCTCCCACGATGCCCCCTCCCCCGCCTCACCTCAGGCAGCTTGAAGCCGTCGTCTGCCACAGCTCGAGCAGCTTGGCCAGGCAGCCCAGGCTGCAGAGGAGGGGGGGGGGGGGGGGTGGGGGGGGGGGGGGTTGTGCCTGGGGGCCTGGGGGCCCGGCCCCCCCGGGGGGGGGGGGGGGGGGCAAACCCACCTCGTGATGATGAGCCCTCCACGCGGGCTGCGGGGGGGGATGCTCCCCTCAGCGGGTTACCCTCCCTCCCTGCCTGCCCAGGTGGGGCGCCGCCTGCCCGCCCGCCCGAATCAAGCTTATTTATACCGTCCACCAAAAAATGACT